ATTGTTACGGGGACCATTACCCAGCTTGGGAGCAGGCGACTGGGGGGGAAATTTGTTACTGGGACCATTACCCAGCTTGGGAGCAGGCGACTGGGTGACAAAAGTCCAGTATTCAATATGCCTTATCGTGTGCAACTGTCAGGGGGCATTGATTACTTCCCTGCACAAGGGAAGGATTAACCTCCTGCTAACTAATCTCTAAACACCCCACCTCCAACCCACGGGGCGATCAGCACCCCATTGATGATTGGTATTGCGGGCCGGGCAAACCGATCACCACCGACTATCCTATTCCTATCCTCTGCCAAACAATGTAGCTCAATGGTTAGAGCACTGTGACGAACTAGCTTCTGTAATGCGCGACTTTCGGCGTGAAGTGCTAAGCGGGGTCCCACGTCGATTGGACGGGTTGATGGAAAATTGCATGTGTGTCCTTGCTTTCTTCATTGTTTCTTCGTTCGCGCACGAGCCCCTGATGACAGTTGGGGACAATTCGAGAATACCAGGGGAAAAGGGGGCAAAACTTGGTCGGATGCGGAGTGCGCGCCGAGTGCGCGATTAATAAACGTTGACGTCTCTTCTTTTCTTTCGTTTCCCTTCTTTTAATTTTGTTTTGTCGGACTTTTGGGCGCGCAGACATCGCGCGGGAATTTCGATGTCTCTTTTTGAATTTCTTTCTTGAATTTTCATTTCGAATCTTGGTCGGAGCCATACGGTCTTCGGAATTTTGATTTTCTTTTCGGACCTTTTCGGCAGGATAGCTAGGAATTTAGGAATTTCGGAATATTCGTTTTTCTAGGGCGCTGCTCTGCATGTTCGCGCGCTCTTTCTTGCTGCTGCGCCGAAACCTTGATTGATTGGCGCCTCAATCCTTTTGCAACTGCAATTTTTGGCGCATACTTTTGTAACTGTATCTTTCTGTTTCTTGCTTCTTCTTCTTCCCGCCTCGTTTCTTCCTTCCCCCCCCCCCCTGCCTACATGGGGTAGCCGCGTTTGCATGTTCAGATCGATGCGTGGAGTGGGTACGTCCTCCACGCCGCGGCCCGACCATGCAGACGCAGGCACTCCCTTTCCCCCATCTATCCACGTCCTTGTAATTCCGTGTTCTTCGTGCATGCATGCACGCTATAAATTCCAGCTGCGCGATTAACTTGCTCTCTTAACAGTTGCTGGAAGCTCGGGGTTGCGCGATCGAGAGGGTCGGCACACGAGCGAAGTAAGAGGTGAGGGAAGTGGGAGTCGGGCGACCCGACGAGCTGGTGTCGAATGCGCGGGGTCGACGCAGGCCACGATGGACTGTGGGCGTGGAGCGAACCTGATGGGCGCAGGAGGACTAAGCAGGGTGACGGCTTCGTGTGTTGGTGCTCGACGACGGACTGTCGGCATCGGAGATAGAGTTGAGATTGAGGATGGACATGGATTTGCGTTTTTCTTTTCGTTCCTTTCTTTATCTGTGTATATAAATTTTGGTGTCGATTACGGGCAATTCGCCCTTGTCTTTGCGGCCATATATTCGTCCTGTTGTTCGATTTGGTTTTTCATCGATGTTTTCTCCTTTGTCTTTCCTTCTAAGGAATCCTCTTTTGCAAATGATGTATGGATGGTTCGCGCACCCTTGCATTTCGTTTTTTTTATCGTTTCCCTTGAACCCTCGCACATGATGAATGAAATTAGGATTGCATGTTAAGCGTGATCAATAGAGTGTGTTGGCTTAAGAGCAGTCTGGAGCGCACCATCCGACGTGCCATATGGGCACATGCAAGTGCGATCCGGACGGAGCGCGGCTTACATGCGTCCATACCACTCGGACTCGCCAATCGCGTCTTGGCTAACACGCGTAGTCAGCCCCTCACTGAAGTAGGAGTCGATGTCAATCGGGATCAGGTTACCCATCGCGCGTAAGTGCGCGCAAGTGCGACTTGTTCGCCTCTCTCTTACGCACTTACGAGCAGTGATCTCCCCGATTAACTTATCCCTCAAGGCGTGAGTGATGAAAGAATGACGAGCTCGCGGAGTTCCGACGCATCTTGGAATTCCGGGGATTACGAATCGTATTTCGAGTACCGGAAAATCTCGGAAGAAGAGCAACTCCGATTACGGGGAAATTTGAGGAACCCGGTATTCCCTTGCCTCACAGAGAACGATAGATTCTGCGCTAGGGAATTCCATCTCGCCGTACGAAGCGACCCGACTACCCAAACACGTACAACACTCAGTATTTCATAACTCCCGGCTTCGCCCTTATCGCCACTAACTTCCCGTTATACCACCTCTTCCTCCCCTATCATCAACTTACAGTAGTACCGTGGAATTCCATACCGCCGTACGAAGCCTCGGCACCTGGGCCTAGGTCCCACCAACCCACTCCACGTGGCGGGCCCAGCAGACGTGAGCCCCAAGGACCACCTCGACAGGCTCCCCAAAACTGGTGATCGCGTCAGGATCGGACGGCCCTGCACCACCAACGAGCCAGCCCGCGCCCGTAAATTTCCCATTGCTGTATTGCATCTATGCCCCTGAACCTTGCCACTGGAGATCTCAGTTCCGACCTGGGACTCCACCCCCACTTTCTAAAAATCCTTGGCACACCCCTTTTCGCACTTCCAGGCCCCCACTCCACTTCGATCAGGAAGTCGCGTCGGGCGTGAGGTTGGGCGTCACAACACCGGTTGGAAATGCGCATTGTGGTATAAGGTTGCGGGTTCAAAACTCAATTGCAGCCTTGCGCATAGCACCGGTTGGAAATGCGCATTGTGGTATAAGGTTGCGGGTTCAAAACTCAATTGCAGCCTTGCGCATGGACACCGGCAGGGCGTTAGAATGACACACGGCCCCCTTGGGCTGACGCACGGTAAGCTTATACAGACACTGCCTGCGCACCACCCAAGGGGTTGTCCATGGTGTTGTATGTCAGGTCTTGATACTGCGTGGGTTGCTTGTGGTTGTTGCTCCTCGTTGTTCTGTTGATCTCCCCAGTCTGGCATATCACACATAGGGGCCGTTTGCAATTGTCGCTCAAATGGTAGAGTCTTCAGGTCACATGTCATAGATCACGGGTTCAAGTCTGGCTTGGGACTTTGGGGGGGGTTCTTGTCCAGCTTGGCCTGTCATCTCTTCAAGCGAACGCATAGTTCCCTCTACATAGTACTGCACATATCTGGCCTTCGGGCACACATATTTCGCTACACAGAGCACACATAGCCTTCGGACAGACACAAAAACATGGCCCTATGGGCCAATACAAACATACATAGCCTCTGGCCACACACATATACACACAACTACGATACTGGGCTGGGGGGGTCAATCAGGTATATGACGGGGTCTACGCATGCATGGCTTAGCTCTAGGGTAGGGTAGGGATATAAGTCGCTCCGACTAGTCTGAGTTCCGCCTAACCCTTGGTAAACTAGGGGAAGGACGGTAGGATGTGTCCGCGGGCGCTGGCCTGCCTTGCTTAGGTTATCCTGCTGGGTAGACTCTCTGAATTGGGCCTGTAGAAGATTGCATGAGCCTGGCGTCCGAAGGTTCCCGTACGGCAAGGTTCGTCCGCTTCCGCTTCCATTAGGGCTGGGAGGTTGGCCCAGCCCTGGTGCTTGTCACTGCTGTCTGGTCCAAGTTGCACTCAATACTGGTAGGGTGATGGTCCTGAGTGCTGGTCACACTGAGGTAGGATAGTAGGGACAGAGGGTGCGCTGGGAGTATTAATGTGGGGATAGGTAGGGTAGGTGGCCTATCCTGTCAGGACAACCATTGGCTGCCACTACCAGCAATCACCGCGGGTCTGGTCCTTGGCCTCTACAGCACCCTGGGCTTTTATTAAAAAAAAAAAAAAGAAAAAAAAAGAAGAAGCAATTCCGTATCGAGGTTGGAGGGGGGGAACACTTACGAAACTCCCATCCTACCTTCCCCACTCCTTTTCTATCTCACCTCGTGCAAGAAACATCACTCTCTACTGGAGCAACCTGACCAGACAGCGGACGCGGGCACTGATGCTGAATGAGCTCAGGGGTAACTTTGGCGCAGTCACGGAAACAGTTTGAAAATGCACTTCAGGCAATCCCACGAACACAACACACCCTCATGTGACCCCACCGGACTTGAAACCTAGGTCATATACATTTACCATTACCGGCCCTTTTGCCTCAAGTGCATTTTCGAACTCAAACTCTGACTGCACCGTAGTTTTCTCTTGATTTTATTTTTTTCAGTCTACACCAGGGTAACTGGCGTTTGGGACGGGGCGAACGCCCGAACCCGAACGCCCGAACGTATGGGACCCCTTGGGGATGTGTTCGGCCGTTCGGGCCGAACGCGGACCCAAAAAAAAAAAAAAAAAAAAAAAAAAAAAAAAAAGTTCATCAAACAAATCTGAAAAACAGACATGTTATGGAGAAAAATAAATTAAACAAGATTTGCCTGAGCATTACATCCGAATTCCTTACCAAATTTGAAATAAAAATAAAATACGAAAAACAAATACTAATAATAAAAATAAATAAAAATAAAAAGAGAATTAAATTTAGTGAGTGCGCCAGCATGTTTTCGACACCACCATCTTTGGCGATTTTTAATTCTTATTTGGCTTAGCCAAATGACTTGAAAATTTACAGGCATGTACCTCACGTCATAGAGAACTCAAAAAACAAACTTCAGAAAAACATAATTATTTTTAGGCCCTGAAATAATTTTTGGCAGGGGCCGAACTCCGTCGGGTTCGGACCCCGTACGGGACCCCGAACGCCCGTACGTACGGAGGTCTGCCCGGGGACCTCCGTACGTACGGGCTGGTGACCCTGGTCTACACTATATTCTTCTCTCAAATTCTTTTTTTTTTTTTTTTTTTAACTCACGAGACATCCTTCCTACCACCTCTCGATATATTTTTTCCCGGCTCGCCCCCACTTCTTCCTACCTCATATGAGGAGCATCACTCTACACTAGAGCAACCTGACGAGACACGGACGCGGGCATTGATGCTGAACCGCATTCAGCCTCAGTTGAGGCACTAGCGTACAAGCCTCGTTATACGGGAACCTCGGGAGCTAGGCGCGTTCTCAACTCAGTCCCGTGAGCAGTGAGGGCACCCAAAGGCAGTGTCTAATGGTCAGCTAACCAAGGTCTAACCTATGAGCCCCTCTACCTCTAAGTACCAACCTGGCACAGCGTGGTTCATATGACTACTTGTTGGTTGTTAGATACATTGGTTGTTATGYCGTGGCCTKTMTTTATATATATGGGCATATGTGGTTGCTTTCTACTATTGATGAGCCTTGCTTATGTTTGTTTATTCGCTAGGGAGAATCGACCAGTGGTATTGGGGGAGACCTCATCCGTCATCAACTACCCTCGACCAACTGCTGCCAACTCACTCCTCACCTGAATGGGTCAACAACCAACGAGCGTAGGACACACCCCTTGATTCGACATTGGTTTCCCTACAAGGCAGCCCTTCCCTACCATCGGACTGCCACGGTATCGCCATGCACCCCTAACCCCCCTTGCCACCCCCCGACCCAAGAGAGCAGCGTTCATCCTACCAAAGGCTTTCCCATAGGAAAGCCACACGTCCCCACCTAAAGCCCTCCAGAGAATCATCCCTTAGCTGATATGACGACTGAGCAACCCGGGACCTCCGGATTACAATATTAGAGCTCTATCCACTGAGCTATTGAGGTCATTAGACTGTAAGGCCGCTATGCCAGGCTCGGGACAAGTGCGTGGGGTGCAACCTACACCAACCAATCGTGCTCGGGGGAAATAGCGGGCCGACAAAGTCGAACCCGCAACCTCCTCGTTGCAACGCCGGAGCTCTACCCACTGAGCTACCACGCACTTGCTTACCAACTGACCGTCTCGAAGGTAAGACGCCAAGCATGCCACAGGCACTATCGTGGGGGCAATGGGAATTGAACCCACGACCTCCTGAGTGCCGCTTGAACGCCTTACCAACTGAGCTACACCCAGTTGGCTTCCTTCTCTCAAATTCTTTCGTCTTTCACGACCTACGTACCACTACTCCTAAGGCTATACAGGGGACCCCTGAACATTGCAATCTACCTCTCTTTTTCTTTTCTTTTTTTTTTTCTTTTTTTTTGCAATCTACCTCTCTTGGTGAAGGAAGGTTACCTGTCTTGGTGGAGGGAGGTAATACAATGTTTGCCCCTTGCTCTGGTTGTTTAGGGTGCAGGGTTACTCTTTTTTTTTATAGAAAAAAAAGGGAAAAGAGGACCCACAGTCGGTACAGCCATGAGCTGTTGACATCAGATCCATAAAAACAACTCTGAGCCAAAATCAGCGGCCAGATTGAGTCCTTTTAGAAGGAATCGATCTGGCCACTGATTTTGCGATTCTGCGACTATGGGCCTCGCTCCACTTACCACATGCACAAAAGACAAAAAAATTGGTGGTGTATCTTTCCATGTTCCACGGGAAGATCCATTCTCATTTTGCACATTTGGTAACTAGTGGAGCAAGACCCTATGGGTATAGCTCCACTACTTTCTACTCTCTACTCTTTCCGCATCTGTTGAAACTTGGAAGTCCCTCTGTTGGGTATCCCAATATCCACGGCTACAACGAGTCAATCGTGCCTCCAAATAATCCTACCCCATGCCCACCCATGGCAGGCTGATTGCCCTATCCCATGTGTGATGGGACCATGCCATGGCTAATGGGACCCATCCCATGGCTGATGGGACCATCCCATGTCTAATGGGTCCATCACATGGCTAGTGGGACCATCCCACAGCAGGCCGATCTGCAAGTTATAGGATATATCCCTCAGAAATCAGGAATTTGCTGGATAATCTCATTCCCTCGCCGCCTCACTGAGTGCACTTATATATGAACTGAAGTGGACCCCTGGTAAGTACAACAGGGGAGCGCTGGGTTATGTTATGTAATGGATTTTATATGACTTGCTTGTGGCAACTTGGAAAGCAATGATTCCCCTTCTCTTTTTGCCTTCGTGTACGCCCTTGCATTGCGGTTGTTCTGTTTTTGCTGTGGCAGCCGAAAGAGCGCGAGATCAGCACCAGTATGTTTTCGAGCTGAGAAAGATTGCGGATGACGTCGCAGCTGAGGCCGCACGATTTAATCAGGTATGATGAAGTTCCAAACTATGAAATTTGGGCCTCATCCTGGATCTTCTGATGGCTTCTTTCCACTACACACTAGAATCACAAATTACTGCATCATCCAATTGGTGCAACCAATGTACGGGCACAAGCTGGGGGATTGTGTTTGGGAGAGAACATATAGTCATGACCAAACTTTGCTTTTTTTTTTTTCTAGTGCTAGAACTAGAATGATTCCCTATGTCATGACCAATGTATATGATTGCTATTCTGGTTCAAATACAGTCAGAGTGCTGGGGGATTGTGTTTGAGAGAGAACGTATAGTCATCTAATTTCTTTGGTCCTGCTTGGAATTCCTCTCCCTCCTCCCCCCCCCGCCCCCTTGAACGCACACAATTTAGGGGTTGGTGGGTTTGGGGGGCAGTGAAGTGTGGGCTTACCTCCCTGGGCTTCTGGGCCATTGACATTTTCCTCATCATCACACCACCTTTTTGTTGTAATGGGAAAAAAAAAGAGCAAGTGACGATGTCCAACTGTCAGATCCTTTGATTGCAGGGTCAACTTCACAGCTCTGCTGATGATGAACAGAGCATTGAAGATCTTTCACAGGAGCTGGTCTGGCTGCGACAAAAATGCCTTGTCCATGAGCAACAAATCTCGGCCCTCCAATCGGAGAAACAAGCCCTGGAGGAGCGGGTGAGATCCTTACTGTGCTCTTCCTCCTCCTCCTCCTCCTCCTCCTCCTCCTCCTCCTCCTCCTTTTCTTAGGGCAATTCACACAGCCATCTTCCCCAAAACACAGTGCACCCAGATCATGGATGAAGACATTTTTAAAGACACTTCCCCAACAGGTAGGAAGTTAGGAACATCTGAATTCCAAGTTTTTATTTCTATGTTTCCTGTTTACTTTTCTTTTCTTTAATAGACGGCGACGGCTATGAGATACGATCGTTGAACTGACCGCTCTAGATACTTCAGCATTCTTCAATTATTTTATTTCATTCATCTAGTTCCATCTGGCTTCAGAGCCAGGTCTGTATTTTGACAGTTCATGGGAGTACAAATCGAGCTAGGCCCGTTGGCGGTCCTTTTTCTTTTTGCACTTTTGCAGCTGACAGAATAAGGGACCCACTGCACCACTCATGAAAAGGCAACAGAGAGTCCTCTCAAACGGGTCGCTCTTGAGCATTGGCTGGGAAGGTAGTACAGAAGAGACCAGGGGAGAGGACAAACCCAGCCCTCATTTTGTGAGATTTCCACCCTTCAGCTCACGACCCTGTCCGAGTCGAACAGGTCGTTCTTGAGAGCTGGCTACGAAAGGACAGAAGAGCCCAGAGGAAAGGACACACCTTGCCCTTCCCAACCTCAGGCCAAATTGAAAACATGAGTTTTTTTTCAAAGGGACGGATGGAGGACTTTTGAAACCGAGATGGTTGAGGGCTGGAATGACGCTGCACTTCAAGAGTCCCCATGAAATGCGGATTCTGACACCTCACGAGGAACTTCTTTTTTCGGCTGAGTCCTGTGGGGGTGTGTGGCAACTCCGAACTCTCGCAAACCTAAGTCCGCAGAGCGATGTCACCGATGTCGCAAGCCCCTAAGCCAGACGATGTGCATGAACAGTTGTGCCAAACTGTCCAGAACGTTACGTATCACTGTAGACTGAGTGGAAAGTCCCGCAAACCTAAGTCCGCAGAGCGATGTCACCCATGTCGCAAGCCCCTAAGCCAGAAGGTGTGCATGAACAGTTGTGCCAAACTGTCCAGAACGTTACGTATCACTGTAGACTGAGTGGCGAGAGTTTGGCGTACACTGCAGGGGTAGCACCCTTCCATCACCCTTCTTCTTCGGACGTGTGAGAAAAAGAAGAAGAAAGAGGAGATAATACAAATCTTTTATCTTCCTGAATTCCCACGGTAAACCCTACCCTTCCCCATACCTGTCTAGTCCCCACACTTTCTACCATGTAAGATGTGTGCCACCGACCTGATCCTTCCCCCGCACCCATCTACTCTTAACCCACATTTTTTACCATTTAAATCAGCAGTCCCTCTGTTCCTGCTTTTCCTTGCCGCTGCACGGCAAATAAAAGCAAACCGACGCCGGCACAATACAGTCTCTTTTCGCTTGCTGCCGCCAGCCATTTTGGTCCAGTAGGATGGGCTCCTGTTAACGTGCCGTGTTGGAACAAAATAGCTGGGGAAGGGACTGGTGGTTAAAGATGTGTGCTCCCACCGTTTTTTCTGGCCCCCGGGTTCATCATTCAACCATAAACATTTTGTCAATTCCCCTCCCATGGTTGACTTTCTGGGCCATGATAAAAACAGAACTTTCTAGGATGAGCCATTGCCATACATTTGCACCCCCAAATGTTCTGCTGGGGAACCTCTCCCTCTCCCGCCCCCCTCCCCCCCGCTGCAAACCCTCACCCGTCCCTTGAGGAAGGCCATTCTGGGGTATCCCAGCATAAATAAATCCGCAGCCTGCAATAAGCTAGGAGCAATAAGCGCGACAATGCAATCCATCACTGCCGGTGTTTTCCCTAATCCTTCCTTTGCTTTTCTTTTTCTTTGGGTGGGTAGGTGGGGGGGGGGGGGGACGGGAAGTAAGCTCAGATTCTTGGGCCAGTCTCTCACTCTGGGGATGGTGCTTCATCCTTCCTTTTTTGCTGCCCCCCCTCCCCCCCTCCCCCCCTCCCCCGGGACCTGTCAGTCCCTACTGTGTCAGTCCCAACTGGCCTGCCCATTTCCCTCCACCTTTTTCTCCACCTTTGTCTCATTCTCCCTCCTTTTTCTCTCCTTTTTCTCTCCTTTTTCTTTTCTTTTAATTCTGATGTGACAAGTGTCAAGTAGCTGTTGAGGCTTTTGCCTCCTTCATCCTATGTATTATGTTGGTGATTGCAGTTGCATACTTCTGTTCCACGGGCCCAAAAGAAGAACTTCACTGCATTGTGACATTATCGCAAAAGCCTTGCATTTGTTTTCTCCACTTCCCACATAGCAATCCAGTTTTTCTTGAACTTATGCACATAGTCTCCAAAATACCTTTGCTCGGTCGGTGCAGAAGATGTGTGGGTGTCACTGGGTGATGACTTTATTTTTGATGGATGGAGCATCTGAAGTCAAACGTGCTTACTTATTTTTTTTTTATCAATGTTGAATTAAGTCGTCTGGCAGATACTTTGCGGGTTGTATAAGAAGACCGTGTCAAAGATCGAAGAATATGTTCTCCGTAACGACTGATGACAATTTCTTTTCAACTTTCAGAAGTCGTTAATCGAACCTTCTGGTTCCTGGTTCTATCTGTTGTGATGAGAATGATGTGTCTTTGACTCTGTCTTTGTTGCACACATCATTCATACAGCTCGTACCTAAGTTCTTACAGGTGACTGTAGTGAATATGGAGAAGGCATGGTCCTACCCCTGTCTCTTATACACATCTAGATGTGTATAAGAGACAGGTAGAAGATTGCATGAGCCTGGCGTCCGAAGTTCCCGTACGGGTTCGTCCGCTTCCGCTTCCGCTTCCATTAGGGCTGGGAGGTTGGCCCAGCCCTGGTGCTTGTCACTGCTGTCTGGTCCAAGTTGCACTCAATACTGGTAGGGTGANAAAAAAAGGTCCTTACAGGTGACTGTAGTATGTCTTTCTTTGAACCATCGGTGGATGGATGGCCCAGCCATTGGGAAAACTCCTTCCGGCAGCAGCAAACATGCGGCCACGTAAAGGCTTGGTGTTCCCTTTAAAAAAACCTGGCGGCGCCAGGCAAATCGCACACTGCTGGCCAAATATCGAAACTCCGAAAAAGAGGGTCCACTGGCCAATTAAGCAAATGAAACTAGTGAATGCGATCCTGAAATTTTATGTCATTTTTTTTTCCACAGGTATTTGATCTGATTTCCCCCCCCCCCCCCCCCGAATAGCCCTTGTGTAAAACCCTCTATCCCGGCGGTGGTAAGATAACCGTCAGGATTGAGGGTTGATCTGATGATCTTGAAGTGTGGTCAACTTGTTCAGATAAAAAAGATGTTGAAGTAATGAATAATTTTATGCCTTTTTTTTTTTCTTCTGCAATTGACTTTCAGACGGTGACACTCACCCAGGAGTTGACAGAAGAGCAAGATAAAATTTCGACAATCCACGCACATTATTCGGCACGCTGCAATGACATCTTGGAGGGGATAATACAAATTGAATCAGGGAAATCGACGGTCAAGGTTAGTTAATCGTGGCGTCAACCAACAGTCTGCCGCCATCTATAACGTCTGTAAGTCATTTTTTTCTTGCCTAACGGTCCTCAGCAGCCCTCAGAAAGGCCGCCCAAGAAAATGCAGGCGGGCCTTATGTGAAGGCTGGGCCTGAGAAGCTACTGGGCCCCTGTTTGGAGCCCAGCTCTGGTAACTACCCGGAGGGCCCTCTCGGGATACAGACCGGGCAGGCGCTTGGGTTGGGACCCAGGCCCCTACCGGAGGCTCAGACCCAGACCCCGGTCAGAGGAAAGAATGAAAGGAGAGGACTCTGAGGCTGGGGCACACACACATTGAGCAGTGGGAAGTATAATGTGGCATAAAGCGCTGAGGCAGTATGGCAACGAGCGCCTTGCACAGGAAGGGGACGGCAGCTTGCGGTAGCTGCCTGGTGACCGCACACCATAGCTGGTTGTCTGCGCTGTGGCAGCACAGGGAAGTGGATGGCGAGTGGTATTTGGGGGCAACTTTTGAGTCTTGATACAGCAATAATGACTGTATGTTGTATTGGGGTGAAGAACGTTGTGGGGACTGGTGGATACTTACCGAGTGTGTATGGCTGAGGAGTGCATATGTGATCAGAGTCTTCAGTGGCATCTGGGGAGGGAAGAGTGGAGAGAGTGAGAGGTAGTAACCTCTTGTGATAGGTTAGAGTGTGTAAGGCTGAGTAGGAGAGTAGCGGGTACATAATTTCATTAAAACACGAATAGAGTCAAGAGTTCCACCGCTAGGCTCGAAGAAAGAGTAGCAGGCATACACATCATAGCAAGGGCTACTACTCTGTTGTTGTGTTTATTGGTGGAGGAGCGAAGAGGGCTTTAATTTGTTTACAGACTTCAGTGTTCAGTGTGTTCTTGGATCGGCATGATCTCGCCCTTGTCATTCTGCTTTCAGCTTGGCTTATTCATGATTGGTCTGCTGTGAGCTCTCGGGTCTCAAAATTTTTTGAGGATTTTTTTTTTTTTACTATTATTTTTTTTACTTCTCATTTGCTGTTTTTTGCAGTGTGCGTGCAATTAAATTATTCAATTGGCACCCAGCCTATAGGCCTGAATGGTACACACACATGCCCACTATCCCCTCATGGCCCTAAAAGGGGGGGGAGGGAAACAACCACTACGTTTTTTGTTGTTCCTTTTTTTAAGCAAGAAGACAAATGTCCTCAACAGGAATGAAACGCAGTTGTTTGGGATTGGAAGTCAGGAAAATGACACAAGAGCATGTGTCCCAGAAAGGACAAACATTCTAGGCACAAAAGAAAAAAACAAAACAAAACAGAGAAACATATTTCATGTAAAGAACCAGTAGCACATCATGTGATGCTTCACTCTTGTGGAGGACATAATGTACACAAAATAAAGAAGTGAAGCGACCAATGATCACTCCAGCATCCTGATTCTGCATCCTCCACTCAGGGCCCCCAGGATAGAGAAAGCCATTATCATAAGGTCATCTCTCAACGAAAGAAAAAAGGGAAGAAAAGGGGAACAAAAAAGAGGAAAAAAAGGAAAAAGAAGTGGAAAAAAAGAAACGACGAAATTGACTCCCCAATTTGGCAATTCCCAATATTGGCAATTATGATGCTGGCAGTGGCGATGGCAAGAAGAAGGAGGATGGAGAGGAGGAGGAGGAGGAGGAAGGAAGAAGAAGACAGAAATGAAGGAGGAGAGAGGAAAGAACCAGGAAGGAGGAAGGAGGCAGGAGGCAGGAGGAAGGAGGAGGGAGGAAGCAAGGAGGAAGGAGGAAGAAGGAGGGAGGGAGGAGGAAGGAGAAGGAAGGAGGGGGAGGTAGAAGACCGAAGGAGGAGGAAGGAGGAGGAAGGAGGAGGAAGGAGGAGGAAGGAGGAGGAAGGAGGAAATAGGAAGGAGGAGGAAATAGGAGGAAGGAGGAAATAGGAGGACGGAGGAGGAAGGAGGAGGAAGGAGGAAGGAGGAAGGAGGAAGGAGGAGGAGGGAGGAAGGAGGAGGAGGGAGGAAGAAGGAGGAAGGAGGAAGAAGGAAAGAGGAAGGAGGAAGGAGGAAGGAGGAGGAAGGAAGAAGGACGAAGAAGGATGAAGGAAGGAGGAAGGAAGGAGGAAGGAGGAAGGAGGAAGGAAGGAGGATGAAATAGGAGGAAGGAGGAAGGGTTGCAAGGAAATAAACAATTCGAGCAGCAACAAACCAAGTTGCAACATCTCACAGAAGATCAGACGTCACTGAGCCGAAATTGAAAGCAGAAATCAAAGCGAGATTCGCACCAAATAGGAATGAGCAAAGCACTGCAGTCTCTTGATAATGAAAGCCCTTTCAACGCCTCCAATCACCAATACAACAACAATGTAGCCCTCCTACAGGTGGCTGGACTACCGACTCTACCTCCTACAACTCCTATCAGACTAGCCTACTTATATCAGCAACTGGTCCACATGAAATCACCTCAATTTCCCTTGAAGACTCTGATTGAACAGCCTGCCTTCACCAACACCAGGTGCGTGCCTCGTCACACTGCCTCTCTTCCTTCTCCCACTCCCTGTTCCACCAAGGACCTCCGCTACTCCACCACCGTCTACGGAGCAAGCAACCCGTCTCTAGGCTGCCACTCTCTTTCTCCCTCACCTTGCTGCCACCGTGCAGCTTCCTCCTCGGGAGCAATGTCCAGCAGCCGCTCGTGCAGCGCTGCTGCATGCCTGAATGCCCAAATGTGTGATGCCAGGCGCCTTCCACTCTTTTGTGCTGGCTGGAGAGAAGGAGGAGGCTGTGCCCAGGCTGCACCCTGTAGTCTGCTCACATTGGCCTGAACTCAGGCCAGGACACATTTTTGCAGGCCCGCGTTCACTTAAGGCSYGCASGCC